TGAACACAACGATCAGATGTGTTGTTGGTTCCTCTGACGTTCAGGATGTGAAGTGTTCTTGTCTCTGTTGGGAGGTTAATTAGATTTATCGTTCTGCATCATCCTGCTCCTCACATAAACGGCATCAGGAGGAGGAGGTAGAGGAGCAGCAGGAGCTGAGTGTCCACTGAAAAAGCAGCCGTTTGATTGGCTGTAATAAGTCAATAAAACAGGGAGAAAGGAGGTGTTGAACTCAGAGCTCCTTTCCTCTGTCTCCTCTTCTTCCTGGTATTTGTCCATAACTCAAGGTAAACAGGACAGGAACCTCCTCCTCTCTGTGTGTCCTCGTTCAGCCTGTCTCTCACGTGATTGGCTCTGTGATTTAAGAGTGCTGCATTCTCATTCGTCAGCGGGTTAACTTCTGTGAGCATGTGACAAACGGCGGTGTGCTCACACACACACAGAGTTTTATCTGAGTAAGGCTGATTGTGAGCGCTCGCCGTGCATCCATAACTCAGGCAGGAAGTGTGGCAGGTCAATAGGAGATAAGACAAAAGCTGCAGCAGCTCCTCTGTGCTGCCGTCAGGTCCAAAGAGCGAGGCCAACGAGCTGCATCGGAGCATTAAACCAACGGTTCGATACTTCATTATTCTGACAACAAGCAGCCTGCCTGACAAACTTTCTTTATCTGCTCATTACTGCAGCACACATTACCACGGCGGGGAGGAGAACCTCGTCAGCAGATGTTGGTCAGCAAATACATCCTTTGATTTCTGTGCACATTTAACAAAAACAGAAAAWCTGACTGAGGTCTGAGTCCAAACTCAGGTTCTGTGTCCACCGAAGGCTGAATTTGTCTGCAGCTTACATCACTGCGTCATGCCATAGGCTGTCTGAATTCAAAGACTTCTCTGTTGCTAACGCTAACYCTGGTTTGAGGGACTGGTCCGGTGAATCCTTCTCGGCCCAGTGAATCCCATAATGCATTGTGGGCCAGCTGGAGATTATTTCTGCTTGTAAAGGTACAGTTTTAATAAAAACTGAATGTTTCAAGCGGGTGTGTTGTTAATGCTTTTATCATTTGTATAGACATGTTTGTAATATTCTTGTCAGAAATCAACCGAGCTGGTGTAGTGAAATAAACGTGCACCTACAGCAGGTCCATTAGTTCTACATATGGTGATACTTTGCTTATTATAATATGTTTTACTTCTGTTTAACACCATTAATGCTGGGCTAAGGGCAGGAATAAAGCAGAAGGCTAAACCATCCAGATTCACAGCCACTTTCTTCTGGTCTTCACCATCGACCATGGRTCCAACCCACCTAGACCAGGTAGGCCRGGTCCTTTGAAGGACACAGCCCCTGAACACGGAGAAGTGTCAGGAGAGTGGGTCAATCTGCTCAGACAGGTTGGATGGGGCAAAACCATTGAAACTCTTAAAAAGAAATAAAAGAACCTTAACATGAACTCTGAAATGAACAGGTGGGTGGAAGACAGAGTGATGGCGATGTGCTCCAGTTAGCAGGTGAGCTGCAGCTTTCTGGACCAACTGGAGGCGTCTGAGGGAGRACTGTCTGACTCCGAGGTAAAGACCGTTACAATATCTGAGCCGTGATGTAACAAATGCAGGAATTATTGTTTCAAAATGTTGTTTTGAAAAACAAACAAACAAACAAACAAAGATTTTACCTTTGCAGCTGTCTGAGGCTACGTTCACACTGCAGGTCTTAATGCTCAGTTGTGACTTTTTAGAAAAAATCCGATCT